GCTGCTGCTGCTGCATTTCCCAAGTTGTCTATTTTGGGCAGAGCCCTCGAGCGAGAAGCGCCATTAAATCGATTTTACATTAAAAATATTGCACAAGGCGCCGCCCGCCGCCAGAATTAATGGATCATAATTATTGTTGAACGGCAGCAACAGCCACGATAACAACATCAACAGCAGCAGCAACAACAGCAGCAACAACAGCAGCCGCAACATCAACAACAACCGCATTAGAAATGAAAACAGCCCACGAAACGTCTGGCCGACGATTGTAAGGCTTAAAAGAAGCAGCCACACAATGCACAGTGGTGCAGGAATTAAAGACTACAGATTCGAGCAAAGATTCCAGGTGGATTTGGCAGCTTTGCTCACAAAAGTAGTTGGTTAAATAGTAAATAAATCAATAAAACAAATTTCATATTGGCTTAAATGAAGAACATTTTATGCTTATAATTCGCAAACGGTTATGGCTTAGCATAGAAAACTGTTTGAGCTTGTAATTCTCAAATGGTTGTAGCATTAAGTATAAAGTCCTGGCAGATCATTTGAAAGTCCAGCATTATGGCTTAAGAAGAAAAATTGGCATCTAATTAAATTTTAATATTTGACACCACTGTGCGGCACGCAGAGATGAATCTTTCAAGTGTTGCTGGCCACTCACAAGCGGCAGACGCAGATGCTGCAACGTCCACTTTCGATATGAAGAGAGAACTTTTCTTTTCTTGGCTTGTCTTGTCTTAACTTTGCTTTTCTTTACATTACTTTTTGCTTTGCTTTTCCGTGTTGTTTTTTTTTTTTCTGTTTTTTGTTTTTTTCGTTTGGCATTTTACAGTAATTTTTCCAAGAGAAATTTATGCCATAGTTTGATGCGTTGCTGGCAGTTGTACAAAAAAATAAACGCCTAAATACCAGAGTCTTACGACAGTTGAGTCTCGAGCTCATTTGAAGAGCGAGTTGCCGCTGCCGCTGCAATTTGTTCTGGTGTGCCTGAATGCGTGCCTGACCTCTCGATCCCCCCTGTACGCTGCTCTGACCTCAGTGCAATTTCATGCCCCGCCGAAAGAAGAAAGTGGCGACTGCGACGTCAACTGCGACTGCGACTGCGACTGTTGGCCATCTGTTTATGTTGGACTTGACGTCATTTTGCGGCAAGTGAAAATGTGTGCGACGCGTACAATCCGGTTTTTTTTTTCGGCTCAGCTTGTGAGATGTTTATGTTTTCAACAGCAACAACATCAGCGAACATTTGTTCGCCTTCTTTTTTTTTTTTTTTTTTGGCTCAATGTTAAGACGAGATGTTAAAAACGTGATTTCCATGCGTCGCCGGCGTCGTCGCCGTCGTCGTCGGCATATTTAAATAAAATACTTTTACTATCAAAGAAAACTAGTCAGCGGCAACCAGCTCGTTATATTGCTGATCAAAAATTATAGTGCAGCGGCGCCAAACGTTGCATACGCAACGCGCAACGCGCCACGCAGAGGCCACTGACCACAAGCATCCAGACTCAGCTTGCAACTGGAACTTGCAACAGCAGGCGGCAGGCGGCAGGTGGCAGAAGGCAGGCGACTGCCCGTTGACAGTGACTCGCCAATCTTCATGCGTTGCCATTTTGGACACTGAACCCCCCGACAAGCGGGTGGAGGCAATCAGCGCCCCTGCCAGCTAAGATAACTACCCATCATCATCATCAGCATCATCATTATCATCATCATCATCAAAATAGCGTATCTATCTATCGGGCGAGCGTATCTTATGCAACTCCTGACTAGCAAAACAAAAGACCAAGCAATTTATCAAAATCTGCTCTATGGTATTCATAATTTGCATCACATAACCAGCGCCCCAAACATGGCAAAAAAAATAATAATAATATAAATATAAATAAAATAGCAGCCATACAAAAAATATGCGTTAATTGTATGGAAATGGAAATGTTATTGACCAGACGCTCTCGGACTCTGGCGCTGAGTAAGAGTTGGAGACTCCCAGTCCCAGTTCCAGTTCCAGTTGCAGTCTCAGTCCAAGTCCAAGTCCAAGTCGGATACCAGCTCAGCCAAGCATTTCATTTGGGCCCTTTCTTTAGTCTATTCGGCATTTCTTTGGCTTTTAAGCATTTTCAATGAAATGCCTCAGCGCATTACGCGTCTTATACAACATTTAAATACTCATTCAAAGCGACTCGCGGCTGCCAAAAAGACCGAAAACAAAACCGAATAAAACAATAATTTGCCATAAATCTGGCTATTATAAACCAACTACTTAGCATTGCGGGTGTAATTTTCTCTTCATTTGTAACACAAAACAGAAGCGAATGTTATGTCAGCTGTTGCCCAATCTCAGCGAATCGTTTGAATCGTTGTGATCTCCAGATGTTGCTCTAGTTCAGTAATTGACATTAAAATACGCTTATTTATGTTTGGTAAAAGAAACTTGGGTCGTATTTTGGTTTCTGTGCAGCAACATTGACTAATTAAAGAAAATTTACGTTTGAATTGATCATTTTTCAATAGAATTTTTAAGCATTTCCTATACCTAGTCTCTGAATGATTACGAGGAGGCAGTTCTTTAGAAACTTGAGTTAGGCGCTTTTGTTTGTTGTGCTTATCAATAGGAAACAATTGTTCTATTGTTAATTTGGCCTATTATTAAATAAGTCATAGTCTATTTATTTTATGGCAACTTAAGCACTTTTATAGCCAGAGAAGTAATCAATTGATTCAGCGAACAGCACAAAGAACTTTCGTTGTTTGCATTTTCAAGCTAAATTGTAAATATACTTGAACTTTTTGCAGTAGCTTCCAATAAACTTGGCCAATTGCTGCCAACTGTTTGATATATTTAATATTTAATAATATGAAAATACACAAAATATTTTTGTAGTTAGGCAAACTATAGTCATAAATTATATATCAACGCTTGCTTGACTTCGATAAGATTTTATAGTTAATTTTAATCAGTTTTTTACCTGAGTGTAGTCACATTTCCTCATTGTAGCTTCCTATGTGATTTGTTGTGCTTGGCATAAAATTTACTCAGAGCTATTTTTGTTTATATTACCCGGCGCGGGGCTTGTCCAACGGGCGGGCGGGTGTTTGATGACAAATAGACTTATCAGAGCATCAAAATGTCAAGTGCATTGAAATCAGTGTAAACCCGAGTTGAAGATTATAATTCGAGGAACAATATTTAGGTAAGATAGGAATAGAGAAAAGCAAAGAGAGCAGCACACAAAGTATATGCTGAGCTTAGCTTGTCAATCAACACTTTTCCAGACAAACAAGATAAACTCAGTGGGGTTGCGTGTGGGTTGTGTTGGGTATCTTTTAATATTTGGCAGACATTCTGTCGCTGCTGTAATATGCAAATTCCATAATATGCAAATGAAACGCTTTGCGGCTTGTACGCTAAAAGCTAAACAGAAACCAAAAAAAAAAACTACAACAATAAACATGGCAAAATTGGCAATACACACACACACACACGCGGACGCACACCCATGGTGTTGCATATTACTCAACAGGCAGGCGGCGAACGGAAGTGATTAAGAGAAGCAACAAGTGGACAGCTATCAGCAGCAGATACATCTACAAGCAGCTACAAGCAGCTAATGTATCTGACGGATGCCTGCGCCCGAAGAAAGTGAAGAAGCTGCGTTTTGTCGGCTATAATCAAATGTGAGGCGTTGGGAACTAGACAAAAGGGTCGCTTATGCAAATGCCAGCCAATTGAGAGATACAGATACTAATACGGTCAGCCAGCCAGCCAGCTTAAGATACAGATACATTGGCTACAGCTGTTTTTTTTTTTCGGATGATGTAAGCGGCCAAAATGTATTTTTTGTTGGTTTTTGTTTCTGTTTTTTTCATTTTTGCTCTTAATTTATGTAAATGTGCAACTTGTCAGCATTTCTACGTCGGCTTTCTTTTGACTATACGAGCTCAGAAATACTCAAATATGTGCACATTTATATAAATATATATATAAATATAAATATATATATAAATATAAATATATATATAAATATATATTTATATATTTTTCGCTTTTACGCACATTTGAACCGTTAGAGCAACACCTTTTGTCCCATTCCGGGGGTGGCCAAGCCGCAAATCGCGCTTGTTAAGAAAAAAACACGGCAAAAAAAAAAAGGTTAAAATTAGTTTAGCACTTTTTGAAAGTTGTCGACAACATCCGTCGCCCCCTCGGCTCGGCCCCGCTTTGGCTGGCTGCACACAAAACTGAGCCTCGACTTTGACTGAAGACTGAACTCGTCAAAACCGAAAACTGAAAACTGAAACATAAAACTCTTTATAATTGCACTGTAAACATTTCACTTTCGTTTTTGTTTTGTCTCTCGCAAACTGTTTTTAATACCCGCACTGAAAATAAAAAAAAAAAAAACACAAAATGTTGTCGCCGCGCATCGTGCACAGAATAATTTTTCGGCTGCTTTTTATTATTTTTTTTTTTTTTCGGAGCAGCCACTTTCGCCATGTGGGTGCCGCGAAATGATGAGCTGCCCAGATGTGTATTTGATGCCGTCGAGGACTCAATTAGCAGCAGCCCGTTTCAGATTTGCATAATTTTTGTGGTAGCGCAACGCTCAAACGAGACTGACTGCCAAATCGTGGCCTGCGTGAGCAGCCGATGACCCCAGCCGATGACCTGTCGCCCACCCCTGCCAAGCTGCCACAGACTATCTCAGACTGTCTCAAGCTAACGATTGACATTTAGTTGGGTTGGGCCAAAGGCAATTTCATATGCTTATTAGCTTCGTACACGTGACAGAAGTTTGCCACGAAATTTCCCAACAGTTGAGCGCAGAAAAAACATTTTAGCTGCATTTTCTTCTTCCCAACTAAATATGTTTACTTTAAATTTCTTCAAATTCTCAGCAAAGAAATGCAAAGATTTTGAAAGAATCTATAAACAACTTTTATTTTTTAAAATGAATTCTCTTAATTCGAATTTTAATAAAACCCATGCTTCTTTCTGCTTTCAGATCCAACTCAAAGGCCTCGTATCTGCCGCGTCAGAGCCTGGAAAAGCTGAACAACACGGATCCGGACCATGGCATTTATAAGCTAACGCTCACCTCCAACGAGGATCTGGTGGCGCACAACAAGCCCAGCTATGCAGTCGGTGCTGGCAAACTGAAGTTGCCCAACAATTTGCCGGATGTGCTGCCGCTGGGCGTGAAGCTGCAACAGCAGCCGGTCAAGCCGCCGCCGCCGCCTAGTTCGCCCGGGGATGTTGTTGCTCTGCGCTATGGCTCCAATAATAACCTCGCAACGAAATCGCCAACAAATGCCACGCCCACAGCTGCAGGTGTTGGCAATAATACGGCCTATGCCATGATCTATGGACAGTCGCCGCAACAGCCACAGCCGCAACAGCAGCAGCAGCAGCAGCAGCAACAACGCTACTCATCGCCTGCCCTGGGCCACGCCTACAGCAAGAGCAGATCGCCAGCGCCGCAATTTACGCGATCTCAGTCGTACGATGTAAAGCAGCAGCAGCCGGCGCACGATCCGACGCAGTTCGTGTCCCAGTCACATGTCGATCTGAAGCAAGCCGTCCATGACCTAGAGACGACGCTGGAGGAGGTGTCGCTGCCGGACACACCGCCGCTGCTCTCGCCGGCCAACTCCGACTGCAGCCTGAGCAACAGCTCCCTGGAGTGCAGTCCAGAGAATGTGAAAAACAATCTTAATGGCAATCCTGAGGCGCACATCTTTCGCGCCGAGCTAATTAGCACAACGACGACAGCGACACTCCCAAAGCAGCCGCCGCCGCCGCTGCCGCCCGTGAATCGACAGGAGTCGCTGCGCGAGAACATCGAGAAGATTACGCAGCTGCAATCGCAGCTGATGTCAGCGCACCTGTGCGACTCCGCCGGATTGCTGGGTAGCTATGCCAAGCCGCTGAGTCCCAGCAGCACAGAGCCACCACCGACCACAGAACCGCCGCCTAGCCCACCGCCTAACCAGGAGCAGCTGGCGGAGCTGGAAACTGAATCCAAGCCAGGCTCACCAATGGTTGCCAACACGGATAGTCTTAAGCTGATGCAGCGCAGCGAGCTGGTGCTTATTGTGAATCCTACGCCCAACACCGCGGACATGGCCTGCCAGACAGAGGATTTGCTGGACAATGAGCTGGTGGCGACGCGTGAGGAGCAGCAGACGCGCACGACGCTGCAACCACGCCAGCGTCAGGCCATTGAACTGGAATACGAGAATCTGGCCCTGGAGCTGATCAAGCAGCTGGCGCCCAACGACAAGCTCATCGAAATATTGACACCAAAAAGCTACAAGCCGACGACGCAGTACGTCAACAATTTGTACAATCCAAATGTCCAGCTGCGTCCGGCCAAGCGAGATGTCGGCACCACGACGCTGATGCGCATGAAAGGAGCCAGCGGCACAACGACGCTGCTGGCGACAGCGGAACTCCAGGTGGTCAGCGTGGAGCTGCAGCTGGCAGATGACACAGGCGATGCGGATAGCACGAATTTAATCAAACAGAAGCTGGTAAGTAAAGCCATTGCGCTCAATCGAGGCGGCTTGACGGTCAAATCTAATGCCAATCCCTTTGCAGGATGAGCTGATCAAGCAGTTGAACCAAAAAATTGGCGCACTGAAGCGCGAGCAGCAAACCATTGTCGATGAGTGCGCCATCAATGATCAACTGGGCCTGGATTTGCTGGCCAAATTAACGGAGAAGGTGCGTCCCAGCGAAGCGTCCAAGTTCCGCACCTACATCGATGATGTGGGTAACATAACAAGCCTGTTGCTATCGCTGTCGGAACGGCTGGCCCAAACCGAATGCAGTCTGGAGGTGCGTGTGCCCAGCAGCCAGCAGGAGAAGGTACAAAAACTGCATTACAATTTAAGCAAAACTCTTATGGCTAACTTGTTGTTCTTCTTCATTTTTACAGAGCACGCTGGAAGCCAAACGCGCACGCCTCTATGAGCAGCTGGAGGAGGCGCAGCGCCTCAAAGCGGACTTTGACAGGCGTGGCAGCAGCATTGCCAAGCTCTTTGGCAAACATCTCAGCGCCGACCTGTGCGCCGACTATGATTATTTTATCAATATGAAGGCCAAACTCATTGCCGACGCACGCGATCTGTCCGACAGGATTAAGGCCAGCGAGGAGCAGCTGGGCGCGCTCAGCGATGCGCTAGTCCAAAGCGATTGCTAATGCGTCTAGCTCTCACTCAATTTTCCGTGCTGTCAACTCAAAGTTGAGAGTGGTTTGCGAGAATTGAGCGCTGCCTCTTTAGTCGCCGGTCGGGGTATTGTGTGTATTAACTTAAACATGTGCTTAAAATTCAACCACACACACACACACTATAATGTATAAATATTTTATGTTCATTTGTGATTTTCAATTAGCTTGTAGGTTAAACTATATATCAACCGCATATGTGTAAGCAATTTTTTACATAATTATCAAAAGCAAAGATAAACTGTATGCATTAATAAATATTTTAAAGCAATATAAGTTCTTAAGATCGATTTCAAAATGATGGCGCGCGCCCAGTCGTATAATGCTATCTGGCAATACCTTGGCGTTGCCACTACTGTTCAACACCTGTTATTGTTCACAAGCATCGTATGACTGTTTAACATAACTATCGTAAAAAGTATCGAGTAGTATCGATCAAATAGATTGTCAATCGATAATCTAATTGGAAATTGCCCATTTGCAAATATTTATGAGAAATTATAATTAGTGTTAGCAAATTCGACGTCTTTAAACATAAAACAATCATAGAAGAGACACTTATTGGTCTATCTGTAGTTTTTACTACTTAGTGATTGTGTGTAATCGATAACTTACATTGTTTATCAATTCAGTCAGCTGATGGAATGCCCTTTCCATTCAGCATTATCAATTAAATTGCTATGTTTAGAGGCAAAACACTCTGCCAAACCTGGATAAGAAGCGCTTTCGCATTTACAGCGCCACAAACACAATTACAGCGTAGTTGGCCGATAGACGAGTAAGTTCTAATCATATTTGGCATTAGTCACAATTGTTAACTCCAATTTGATGCCAAAGACAATTACTAAACCGTAGCAGAGCATCAATAGCAGAGACGCAGCAGCACCTGTTTCGTGGCATGGCTACGGGTGGCGAGACAAAGGCGCAGTCGCCGAAGCACATTAACCGATTGGCAGCCTCCAAGTCGCCATATTTGCTGCAGCATGCGCACAATCCCGTCGACTGGTGAGTATACCAAAAGAGCATTAAGTAATTACCAGCCAACTCAAGAGCTTTGTATATTTATTGACAGGTATCCCTGGTGTGAGGAGGCCTTTGAGCGTGCGCGTAGCGAGAACAAGTTGATTTTCCTATCTGTGGGCTACTCGACGTGCCATTGGTGCCATGTCATGGAGCACGAATCGTTCGAGGATGCCGACACGGCCGCCGTGATGAACAAACATTTTGTCAACATCAAGGTGGATCGAGAGGAGCGACCCGATATTGACAAGGTCTATATGCAGTTTCTGCTCATGTCCAAGGGCAGCGGCGGCTGGCCCATGAGCGTTTGGCTTACGCCCGACCTAGCACCACTTGCAGCTGGCACATATTTTCCGCCCAAGGCGCGGTAAGGCATTAAACATTCCATATTCGTATAGTTTCTAATGGCTTCTCTGTTTGCTGACGCAGTTATGGCATGCCCTCGTTCACCATGGTGCTGGAGTCCATAGCCAAGAAGTGGCAAACGGATCGCACATCACTCAAGAAAGCGGGAAGCACGCTGATGGAGGCCATGCGAGCCAATCAGAATGCTGGAACCGACGCCGAAGCCGCCTTCGAGCCTGGCAGCGCTGATGCAAAGCTTGCGGAGGCGCTGGCGGTGCACAAGCAACGCTTCGATCAGGAGCACGCCGGCTTTGGCCGGGAACCAAAGTTTCCGGAAGTGCCGCGACTCAACTTTCTGTTTCACGCCTATTTGGTCAGCAAGGATGTGGACGTGCTGGACATGGTACTGCAAACTTTGGATCATATTGGACGCGGTGGCATTAATGACCACATTTTTGGTGGCTTTGCGCGATATGCTACCACGCGAGACTGGCATAATGTCCACTTCGAGAAAATGTTGTACGATCAGGGCCAGCTGATGGCGGCGTATGCCAATGCCTACAAGCTAACGCGCAGCAAGGAATTCCTGCGCTATGCGGATCGAATTTATGAGTACTTGATTAAAGACCTGCGTCATCCGGCAGGCGGCTTTTACGCTGGAGAGGATGCCGACTCCTTGCCTACGCACGCGGACACCGTGAAGGTGGAGGGTGCGTTTTATGCCTGGACCTGGGATGAAGTGAAGCAGGCCTTCGAAGCCCAGCAAGCGCGCTTTAATGATGTCAGTCCGGCGCGTGTCTTTGAAATTTATTGTTTTCACTATGGCATGAAGCCGGCGGGCAATGTGCCGCCTGCCAGTGACCCGCACGGCCATCTGACGGGCAAGAATATTCTGATAGTGCGCGGCTCTGAGGAGGACACGTGTTCGAATTTCAACTTGGAGATGGCACAACTCAGCCAATTGCTGGAGACGGCCAATGACATTCTACACAAAATCAGAGATCAGCGTCCGCGGCCTCATTTAGACACCAAGATCATATGTGGCTGGAATGGCCTGGTGCTATCCGGTCTTTCAAAGCTTGCCAATTGTGGGACCGACAAGCGGGATGCGTATTTGGCCACAGCCAAGCAACTCATGGACTTTTTGCGCACACATCTGTACGATGGGGAGCAAAAGTTACTGTTGCGCTCCTGTTATGGTGCCGGCGTGCAGGATAACACCTTGGAGCAGAATCCGTAAGTTGGGATTTATATGATAGCATCACTAAATATCTAAAAATCTATTAATGCAGAACACGCATCGAGGGATTCCTGGATGATTATGCTTTTCTTGTCAAGGGATTGCTGGACTATTACAAGGCATCGTTGGATATGAGCGCTCTGCACTGGGCCAAGGAACTGCAGGTGACACAGGACAAACTCTTCTGGGATGAAAAGAATGGCGCCTATTTCTTCTCACAGCAGAATGCGCCCAATGTCATTGTTAGACTCAAGGAAGGTTCGTGTTGTGTCATATTGATTCCATTTAATTCATAGACATTACTTCTCACTCCAGATCATGATGGCGCAGAGCCATGTGGCAACAGCGTCGCCGCACGCAATCTCACCCTGCTGTCGCACTATTTCGATGAGGGAACATATTTGAAGCGTGCCGCCAAGTTGCTGAATTACTTTGCCGATGTTGCACCCTTTGGTCATGCATTGCCCGAGATGCTATCGGCGCTGCTGCTGCACGAAAATGGCCTGGACCTGGTGGCAGTCGTGGGTCCAGACTCACCGGATACCAAACGCTTCGTGGAGATTGTGCGCAAGTTCTATGTACCGGGCATGATAATTGTCCACTGTGATCCGCAGCATCCGGACGAGGCGTGCAACCAGCGACTCCAGCAGAAATTCAAAATGGTCAATGGAAAGACAACCGTATATATTTGCCATGATCGTGTCTGCCGGATGCCGGTGACTGATCCTGCGCAACTCGAAGAGAATCTGATGGCCAATTTCTTCAAGGAGCGCATCTAATTAGATACACACCTATTGACATTACTCGAATTAGGTATTAGAATTATGTTATTATTATTAACAATGTTATTGTTTAGCTTTGAAAGCTTAAATCGGTTCTCGGAACTTGTTCTATTATAGCCTTAGCTCCTCTTCTCTCGTATTATCCATGTTCGTGTGCCTCTTTAGCGGCTGATTAAACAGATATTACGAAAGTGTCCGTGTTCGGAAAGATCCTTTTTCGTTTCAAGACATCACTAAAAACTAACGAATCTATAAGCCTGTAATGTAATGGTAATATTTCCTTTAAAAAAAAAAAAGTATGTTTTTTGTAGGATATCTAGGAAATTGTTTAATTGTGACTTTTAAATCAATTCGGTAAACTTTAATCAGGATTGCACTATTATATAGTCGTTCGAAATAACTTGTTTGTACAAATTGAATTTGAAGACGGTTCGTTTGTTTTTTTTTTGTTTGTAGTTTTTGCTTTTCTTAGACAAGAATCGAAATCACAACATCGTAACGCTGTCATATAAACAATTTCTTAAATAGATCCGATCGGGATATGTTTAATGGCGGCGCGATAAGAAAATTGCGTTTTCATCTTCACAAATACAACACATTATTTTGTGCATTTATTGGAATCGTTCGCTTGGCTCCCATATGGACGCGCTCAGGCAACAACAACCAAATACTAGACATTGTGCTGATTGGTTTTGTTCTGGTTACTATTATTATTTTTGTCGTTATTGTTGTTGTTGTTGTTGCTGCTGCTGAGCACGGTGCACGGGGGAGCCGCACAGGCGTAAGAACTAAGCTAAAAACTAAATGCTCGCCCTGCGCTGCGCTTGGGCTAACCCATATGGATCTGGGGATCGGACACATGCATTGGCCGCAAGACGCGACGGCAATCGGCGCAAAAGAACTAAATGTATGGAGAGAACAGTTCGATAATCGATAATCGGTAATCATAATCGTAATAATAGTAGTAGTAATAAAAATAATTTAGTTGAAATTCACATTCATCACATTGGTTTGCACTTGGCGGCGAACCACTTGCCCGTGCCTGTGGTGTTGGTTGCTCGCGATTGCGGCTACGGATCCGGATGCTGCCGCTACAGTTGTTGTTGTTGCTGCCGCTGCTGTTGCTGCTGCTGATGTAGTTGCTGTTGCGGCAGCTGTTGCATCCGCTCAGGTATCTGCATCGTTAAAACTCATGGCCGCATCGAAGCTATCGACGATCGTCTCCATGCGCTCGTGATGCTCGAATCGTGCAAATTTACGCTCCATGCGCGTATACGAGTGTCGGCGCGAGTGCCGTGTCCGTCGAAAGAAACGGAAACGTGTGTCCTCCTCCTCTTCATCGTATTCGGGCGCCGAGACCGAATCCTCGTCCGTTTCGCGCAGGAATTCCTTGGGATCGCGATGAATCTTAAAGATTTTCGTCGCACCATGCAGCTTGGAAATTGTGCGCGATGCATTTATGATGCCGCGCTCGGCCAGCTGCTGTTTGTGCGTCCGGTTCTTGACGGCCGTTAGCCGATTTGTGATTGAGACCACGTTGAACAGTTTGGACAGCTCCGAGTCAACGCAACGTGATTCACGACGCAGGTTCTTACCGTTTTTTACGTAGATAAAATGATTGATTTGATTATCGGCCACCAGGCTGGCGGTGGGTGAACTGGAGCTACCATTCCCAGTCCCGTTGGCGGTACAATTGCCGTTCCCAGTGCTGCTGCCGTTGCTGCTGGACGTTAACAGCGTCGGTGTGGAGGGCGGCGCGGGGGGAACGTGCGGCATTGTGTAGCAACGCTGACGTCCCTCATACAGGTTGGCCACATTGTACCGGCTAAGTCGGCACGATTCCGACTCGATTTCTTCGTGGTCTGAGCTCGGCATGTCCATAGCCTGCGGCGAGAAGCGTATGTGTGTGTATGTTTGTGTGTGTGTGTGTTTTTATGGGTATGTGCATATATATGTGTGTTGGTGTTTTGAGAGTGGGTGCGTTCGCGTGAGTGGGCAGACGAAAACGGGCAAAAGTTGGGCGTTGTAATAATTGAAACATTTAAATTTGCCATGCATGCAATCTGTAGGAGATGTTTTTATACCTGTAGCAAGCCCTCTACTTCCGAGTAATGACGATCCGTCAGACGGTGCAGTTGTTGATCCATTTTTGCTAAACAACAACAACAACAGCATAACAAAAATACGACCGTCCGATACCAATACTTTTGGAGCACAGCAACCCTGCGCACTGCGCAGTCCCAGACGATACCAATACCAATGTTGACGCCCTGGCTAGCAAGAAAAATATGGCGATTTACTCGTTTGCAGATTTATTAAACCAGATGGCAACGCTTAAAGTTGATTAGACTTGTTGAACGGGCAGCAGCAAATAATAAAACATAATATTTTATTAAATAAATACAGAATAAATAAAATTTATTTTCACGTGTATGTATCATCCGAATCGTGGTATTGTGTAGTGGTTTACAAATTAAATTACGTTTCCGATTTCGCCGGCCATAACGTTATTGTTCTCAGATTCTTGTACAGCAGTGTTCCTAGCTCGGCCCCGGCCCCTGCCTCTAGCTCCACCACGACCTCTGCCAACATTGTTCGCGGTATCCCAACATTCTATGGGGAACTTGTTTATTAAAAAAAAAACACAAGTAGGAATTCTATACCCAATTACACACCTGGAAGTGGACGTTTTCGTGAGGTTTTCGGTTGGTTTTCCTCCTGATTATTGTGCTCGATGACGCGGCCTTGTTCAAGCAAATCGCGGAATGTTGGTACACTTTGACGTGCAATGTGCTTGCGGTACTTGATGTTCAAAAGCCCGTACAAGAAATCGAGCTCTGTCTCCTCGTTGTGACGGCCCTCTGGCAGCTGGGCGAGCAGCGCGCGTTTCTCGACCACAAAAGTGTCAATGACAACGTCGTCCTCTTGCCTCTCCTCAAAGAACTCCGTATAGACTTGATGAGCGGGCTTGGCGGGCGAAAAGTGCTCCCGGATAAGGACAATGACGTCGTTCCAGCATTTTGCCTCCTTGCGTACACCCTGCCACCAGGTGGATGCCAAGCCGTAGAAGAGCAGGGATACGCCCTTAAGAGCATTCTCATCGCTGATCTCTTCCAGCTCCTTGTAAGTGACAATGTTTGTGATGAACTCCTCGACCTCGTCGTGACTGCGAGAACCGAAAAATCGGTGCGTGCACGCGCTGAAGCTGCCCTTTGACTTCGAGCTGGAGGCAACCCCAACAGCACTCCCAGAACGCACAGTCTCGATGAGCTCGCGCAGTTGCTCGTTGGTCATTTGTATGGTTTGGGCCATATTGTTGCTGTTTTGGAGCCAATAGGACAAAGTAGTCAATAGCAGTGGATCTCTTGACCTGTTGATGTCGCCTAAAGACTTGTAACGATTTTGAATTTCCACCGGTTTTATATCGCAGACTTGTGAAATTAGACTTCAAATGACAGTTGCGCTCTTTAAAAATGTTGCTTAATGAAAGAGCAATAGTAGGTCTATTAATATTATACGAAGAGAGCTGCAATTTAATATGTATAGATAATTAGCTATGGGTAAGCGTATTCAAGCTGGCAACATTCTGAACTTATCAATTGTTGGGAACTTAAGAGCACGAGCAGTAAATGCACTTAAATAATAACTTAGTAGCAACTCGTAATACCTAAAATGGATTCATCATGATATTTAGGCTCAGTTTGAGTGCCGAGCTGAATTGATCCTTGCGATCCTAACTCTATTGTCAAAATATCTCAAGTTTTATATACATATGTATTTATATATTTTCAATCAACAATTCGATCTAATTTCCTGCTGTCCGTGATATATACCCAGATCACCTCATATTCTTTTGCATTTCGTTAGCTAAAAGCCAAAATATGTTCATGTCCATGTTCAAATTTCGTTGTAAATTTGTTTAAAAATAATTTTCAATTAAAATTTCATGCCTTATCAGTTGTTTGCCTGATAAAAAGTACACGAATCATGTTAAAAAAGAAAGTGTACACCTAACTACTGTTATATGTATGCGTATGTGTTTGTCAATATATGTATGTCAATTAACTAATGACACTATTCTGAGAAAATTTATAAAACAAAACCCCATGGAAACATATATATGTACATATACATACATCCATATATATACACATTGATATGTTTATACACACAAATACATATGCATGCGTTTAAAAGTATTAATCACAATATCGAAAGCAAAAATTGCCGGTTTTTCGAACTCGAAAGCTTTTTCAACTCTGTGTACTCAGAGAGCAAATTGTTTTAATTTCACAACGAAAAAAGCTCAAAACAGCGGCCATCATTTTGCCTAGTTTATTTCTTGGCAGCAGCGAAGCAGCTGCGTTTGTTTATTTACTCTTGTCGGAATCAAAGTCTTGCTTTGGCGAAATGACGCAGTTGTCGGACGAACAGTTTCGCATACTGATTGAAACCATCAAATCATTGGCACCCCAGAAAGATGAAACAGAGCAGCACTCAAGGGGCAGCTTCAGCAATTGTATGGCCCGATTTAGTGGGCAGCGGGACCATGACGCCGTCGAGGTGTTCATAACGGCAGTGGAAACGTACAAGGAGGTGGAGGGCATCAGCGACAAGGACGCGCTGAAAGGCATCACGCTGCTGTTCCATGGTATTGCCGTTGTCTGGTGGAAGGGCGTGCGGCGCAATGTTAAGACCTGGCAAGATGCACTGCAGCTGCTGCGGGATCACTTCTCGCCCACCAAGCCCGCCTATCAAATCTACATGGAGATCTTCGAAACGAAGCAGACGCCGGGAGAAGTGATCGATGCCTATATTTGCAAGCAACGCGCTCTGCTCGCCAAGCTGCCGGACGGGCGGCACGACGAGGAGACCGAGCTGGACTTCGTCTACGGCCTAATGCTGCAAAAGTACAGAGAACACATACCACGACATGAGATCAAAAACTTCCGAGAGCTGCTCGAGCGTGGCCGCAACGTGGAGCGCATGCGGCACTAAAATCTAGACTAAGTTAGTGGAATATTTTTAGATAGACAAAAGTATTTATTAAAAAACATAAATACAGTAAAAATTTTAGATATAGACAGGAACAAACCGAACTAAGCTCAAAGAATTCCAAATTGAGAATTTCAAAAACAAAATGCATTTACTTCTAAAAACAAGATTCATTGAATGAAACAACAAAGCATTTGCCTCTCGAAGATTCGATACCCGATCTATTGTTTCCATGCAAAAACTATCCCTCTATAAGAGTTATATATAGATGCATATCTAGATTTTAAGCGAACGAGTTAATTCTCGATCTGAGCAGAATTTACTTTAATCTTTAATACATGGCCTGAGTAAAGTTGTGTCAGAAACTTGATTTGATTCACTTTTTTAAGTCGGCTTTCCCGCAATATAATATAATGCAAGAAATCGGCTTCAGCTGATGTTCCTGTAATAAATAATAATAGTAATTAATTGAGCAAATCCCGCCCTCTTCCTCCGCGTAGCCACATATAAAACGACGTAGAAAATTGGTTTTTGGGTTTTTGTATTCTGGTTTTTCAGTTTTCTGGTTTCAGTCTTTACAATTTTTGATTTCTTAATCGGCTTATCGTAGCCTCTTGTGGTCATCGTTAGGCCCCCAGCTGGATGATGATGCGAATATGCCAAGGAGCTGGCATCGCACTTCATCGGGGAACGCGGGCCGTCGTTGTTGCAGCGCTTCGTCTGGCCAATGCTCCAAGGTGCTGGCGCACGCTGGACGACGACGGTCACCATGGTATGGACACCGATGTTAGGCATGGATGGCACTACGCGCCTAAGGATTCTACACAAGAGGCTAGACTTGCATGGTTTGGGGTTTCGTGACAGTCGCCGCAAGCTGGAGCAACCGAGCAGCGACGAATCCGAAACCCCGATGTGTGTGTGTGTGTGTGTGCGTGTGAGCGCTGGCGTGCCTAATGCTTGCCGAGTACAGTGAAGCCCCAAGGAGCTGCCACCGACAGGCGTCAATTTAGCGTGCCAATTGCACGAATGGCGACAGCGTAGCCATCGTAGTGCAATGTGTACGATTGAAGGACATTAATAATGTCAATGTAGGTTTTCGAATCGCCTTGAAAGACGATTCGGGTTTGCCCATGACCAAGCCGCAGCAGCTGCTGTCGCGCCAGACGCAAGCACCGCAAGCACAACACCAGGCCGGGCATATCCGCAGTCGGCAGCGGCGCTGCAGCGCACCGAAGTGAGCCGCAGAGTGCTGCCAACTGGCCACAGCGTGGAATTGCGTCGAGCACGTGCGCCGCACAAAAGCGACTGCGCTGCTTCCCATGAGCGTGTTTTGTTTTGCCGCATTGATTAAGGACCAGCGTCGCAGCTGCTGCAATTCGAACTTGGCGACAAGCGGACGCGAGCCCTGCTGGCCGAAGCCTGCAGAGCTTTACGCCTACGCCTGATCGCCTTGTGCGCACTGCAGCAGCGCTGCGCCGGCACTGGGCCAAGGCAGCGGAGTTTGAGCGTGTAGGCAAGGGGGAGGAAGAGGGCGCACGCAACACCCATCACAGTCATAGGCGCTGCGTCGACGCATACGCAGCAGAGGCAGCGACGCTCGCCGCACAAAGCTTATCAAAAGCTTTGCACAAGCAAACGCCGCTGCTCTGCTGCTCTGCATAAAAGCAACGACTTAACCTGGGGGCGAAATGTGTGCGCCAACCTCCACTCCATTACCTGCCGCTCGGTGTTGGCAAACAAAGTTTGCTGTTTAAATTCCAAAATTTGTGAAAATATCACAATAGAGTTGTGTGGGAGTGGCGTTCAGAGCCAAAAATAGCCGCAGGCGCGACGTGAAGATTCGACATCGAAATGTCGTGTATGTTGTTGTGTTTGATCTCTGCTTTGCTTGCCGGCACGCCACTTGGCGCTGAAGGAGAGTTTGAAATGAACTTAACCAAAAAGCTGCTAAAGCTTTGTGCTGATGCTGCTGCTGCTGCTGCTGCTTCTCTTCGTTGTTGTCACTCTCGTCTCTCGCTCATGTCCATGTGTGGCCGGCGCGACAAAGTGAGTGTTGGTGTATTGGTGAGAACATGACGTAGGCTGCGAATATGCGCCCAGCGCATGATGTTAATAGTTGTTGTTGTCGCTGCCGATGATGTCACGTCCCGCGTAGGTTGTGTGTGTGTGTGTTTCGCCTTTTACTCCTCCGCCGCAGTTGCCTCATCCCGCGCCTGACGACGCTTGCGACAGACTTCGAAAGTGTGGCCGCGGAAGTTGCAGTAGGTGCAACGTTCTCCACGACGAGCACCGCGTAGCGGACCCTTTGCAGTCGCCTCATCCTCCTGATTGTTGTGCTCGATGATGCGGCCCTGTTCGAGTAGATCGCGGAATGTTGCGATGCTTTGGCGGGAAATGTGTTTGCGGAATTTGATGTTTAGCAGGCCGTACAGGAAGTCCAGCTCTGTCTCCTCGTTGTGACGGCCCTCTGGCAGCTGGGCGAGCAGCGCGCGTTTCTCGACCACAAATGTGTCAATGGCAACGCCGTCCTCCTGCTTCTTCTCGAAGAATTCCATGTACACTTGGTAGGCGGGCTTGGCGGGCGAGAAGTGCTCGCGGATGAGGTCGATGACGTCATTCCAGCATTTGGCCTCCTTGCGAACACCTTGCCACCAGGTGGATGCCAAGCCGTAGAAGAGCAGGGATATGCCCTTAAGAGCGTTCTCATCGCTGATCTCTTCCAGCTCCTTGTAAGTGACAATGTTTGTGATGAACTCCTCGACGTCGTCGTGACTGCGAGAACCGAAAAATCGGTGCGTGCACGCGCTGAAGCTGCCCTTTGACTTTGAGTTGGTTGCATCGCTGCCGGCAGCAGCAGCCGCAGTTCCGGCTGCGCTGACCGCGGATGAGCGAACCGCCTCGATTAGCGCATGAAGCTGCTCATTTGTCATCTGAATAGTTGTTGCCATTGCAAACAGTTAAGGCACACACTTTGTTGCGTTTGAAAATTTTTGTTGAGTTACGGAATGCAGCGAACAAAGCCAATGTAAGATGGCGAATGGTACTGCTTCCACTTGTGTTGGTCGTTGTTGACTGAAGTTCCGTTATTTGGTCTGTCAGCTTTTATAGCCGAGCGTTGTGAAATTCAATTTCGAAAAAGCTCTGAGAAAAGAGAGAGAGAAAAGAAACGAAAAGAAAGAGCAAGAGTTTTGAGATAGCATTGCCTTCAATAGTTTGCTGCGATTTCTAGTCTCTAAATTCTAGTGAGTCACTTTTTCGGCTTAACAGTAACTAAAAATCGATAATTATACATACATACATATGTACATATGTGTTGGTATGGTGCCATGCGAAGTTTTTAACATGTATGGATATGAATATCTATGTATGTATGTATTTCGCTAAGTGATTGGTAAAAATATTGATAAGCGCGACAATACTTTTAATAATAGTTATAAAGTTATTGCGTACATATGTACATGTGTACACACTAAAAATTGATCATTTCAAATGCACGTTAATACATTGTATGTATGTATGTACACACATACATATGTAACTAGCCGGGCCTTGTTACAATTGCATTTCGATTTTAATTTCATAGAAACATGAAAATGCACGCATTTCGCAAATACATGCATACATATGTAAGTTTGAGTAAAATGTTCTTGTGCATATGTGTGTGTGTGTCCGCATTAAGGTATGAATGTATGTATATGCATGCATGTGGACACGAATTAATAAGCTAAACAGAGAGAGAAATAACTGTCAACATATGTTTATTTTCTTACAAAGCGCTGATGCTATGCTATATTTTGGCATGGCAAACAATGCGATTGTCGTGTCGGAGCGGTCCTCGTATACAAACCTCGCGCCCATCTGTAGTCTGTATAACATCTTCATGTACAAATACATATGTACATATGCATGAATTCAAACTCAAGCAATGTATAGCCAATAAACAAAACTTTTAAAATAATATATGTGTTCATACACATGTGGCATGTGGCAATTGGCACAGCGATCAGAAAATGCTTCGATAGCAAAAGTTTTGGTCAGTTGAAGCTGCCTTCCGAAGGCTTATTTGTTTATTTCATAAAATGGAAACGTTTGCCACATATTCTAAAATTCCCTATTTTAAATAGTTTTACAAGTAGCGTGTCAAAAACATTGCACCACCATATAGGATTATAAAAAAAAAACTAAAAATTATATTCCGTTTTTCTAAATTCAACTAGAAATTCAAAAGTGGTGCGCTTTTTTCGTGACGTTGCCATATCGCTGTGACGCATTGCCACACCAGCTGGTAGGTTATATGCGTATTATGAACTAGTTCGTACACAAAGTTCCCAAGCAGAATTAGCCGGGAAGCCAATGATAATACTATTTGAAGAATTAGTTATTACTAAATTCAACACAAAACTCAAATATGACCGATTATGTGGTTGAAGGCATCGAAGGCAAGCGCATAGTAAATGGAGTGACCGAATACTTATTAAAATGGCATGGATATCCACGCAGTGAAAACACTTGGGAGCCAGTCGAAAATCTCTCTTGCCCCGACTTTATAGCCGCATTTGAGGAATCGGAGAGGAACAAAGCACAGGCTAAAAAGAGACCTTCGTCGGAGTATAGCAATACACGTGATGAGCAAAACAAGAAAATAACTTTCATAAAAGACGAAACTGAAGAGAAATTTGGTTTCGAACGTGGATTGGTCGCTTCGAAAATACTAGGAGCCACCGATTCTTCAGGAAAGCTCATGTTTCTCATGTCGTGGGAAAATTCAGATCGCTACGAACTGGTGCCTGCCAAGCTTGCCAACGTAAAATGTCCACATGTCGTAATTAAATTTTACGAGGAGCGCCTCACTTGGGAATCGGATAAGAAAAACGAAAATAATGCAAAAAGAGAACGCTCAGCTAAAAATGATAATAAAGTCGAGATTGACTTGACAGTTGGCGAGGACGTCAACTTTTGAGCAAGCATCGGTACGTGCTATATACATACATACACATATTCATGCACACTATTTGGATGAACGGACATTAGCAGTTATGCATATACGCAGGCATATATGTAAATGTGTATGTGGCGGTAATATAAAACCATTTTTATCTTAGAATTATGTATATATAAATACCATATGTATTTGAAAAGTAACCATTGTACTTGTCATATCCAATTTCGTTACTTTGTAATACTTAAGTTGACAGTTTAAAATATTAAATACTCTATTTTTGTATTATTTGAGACGGTCGGGCGGGCACAATTTTGGCGCCGGCAACTAAAGATTTGTAAATTGGAGTTGCCACAGTTTCCAATTATCAAAAAAAAAAACTAGTTCAGTGAACTTGGGATTTTCGCTCCGTCACGAACCACAAGCACTGTTGGGCAATTGCACTTTGCTACGAGGTGCGTTTTTAGTAATCTCGTGAAAATAGCGAAGTATTGTGCTATATGGCTGTTCCACGTTGCACAGCATGATTCCGAGAGTGCCTGGGTGACGCTGGCATCTGCATAAATGTATTTTATGATGTGATATGATGAAAATGCGTGTTCTTTGCATATTGCAGGCTTGGGCTGGCATCTGAGAAATTGATGTGAACTGCAATTGGATTTTATTGAAGCGTTGCCGCCGGCTGCAGACGTAGACACAGACGACAACGATGACCACCAGCAGTGAAGATGTGCTCCTCCAAATGGGTGAGGTGCGCTACAAGAAGGGTGACGGCACGCTCTATGTAATGAACGAGCGCTTAGCATGGATGGCGGAGCACCGGGACACGGTGACCGTGTCCCATCGCTATGCGGATATAAAAAGTAAGTGACTGCGTGCATAAATTGCGTTGTGTGAAACTAACTAAAGGCGGTGCATATAAAATGTAGCTCAGAAGATCTCGCCCGATGGCAAGCCAAAGGTGCAGCTACAGGTGGTGCTGCATGACGGCAACACTTCGACGTTCCATTTTGTTAACCGTCAGGGCCAGCCGGCCATGCTTGCCGATCGTGACAAGGTCAAGGAGCTGCTTCAGCAGCTGCTGCCCAATTTCAAGCGGAAGGTAGACAAAGATCTGGAGGACAAGAATCGTATTCTAGTGGAGAATCCCAACTTGCTGCAGCTATACAAGGATCTGGTTATAACCAAAGTACTTACCAGCGATGAGTTCTGGGCCACGCACGCCAAAGATCATGCTCTAAAAAAGATGGGCAAGAGTCAGGAAATCGGTATGTGCACATATAACAAGGATTAAAATATATTGTGTTTTAATATGTCTCTGCTCCCTCAGGTGTCTCTGGCGCTTTTTTGGCCGATATTAAGCCCCAGACGGACGGTTGCAATGGCCTTAAATACAATCTTACCTCTGATGTCATACACTGCATTTTTAAAACATATCCCGCCGTTAAGCGTAAACATATGGAGAATGTTCCCGCCAAAATGCCTGAATCAGAGTTCTGGACGAAGTTCTTTCAATCGCACTATTTTCATCGAGATCGTCTCACCGCTGGCACCAAGGACATCTTTACGGAGTGCGGCAAAATCGATGATCAGGCGCTTAAGGCGTCCGTGCAGCAGGCTGCAGGTGATCCGCTGTTGGATTTGAAAAAATTTGAGGATGTTCCGCTGGAGGAGGGCTTCGGTAGCGTTGCCGGCGATCGCAATGTGGTAAACAGTGGGAATATTGTGCATCAGAACATGATCAAGCGCTTCAATCAGCATTCAATCATGGTACTGAAGACGTGCGCTAATGTTAATGCCACTTCTGCCACCGCTACTAATGGCACTAACGTAGCTAATGGCCCACTAGGGCAATCCACCTACACAAACGGACTAAATGGCAAGGGAGCCAAGCATACGGTCGATAGTGCTCCCAGTAATATTGATGCACCACAAGCGAAGAGGCAGCGTCTCATTGAAAAGATACACTACGAAGATTTGGGCAATCCGCTAATCGAATCGGATGAGGATTCGCATCAATCGACCAACAAAGCCAAACAATTTGAGCTATCCAAAGTGGAACGCTACCTCAACGGACCGTTGCAGAATCACATGTACGAAAATCATAGCGATGCTCTCAGTCTGGACGATGTACAGTACAAGCTGGTTCGCAACTCGGAATCCTGGCTGGATCGCAGTGCGCAGCGCAATGTCATCTGCTCCAAGGCAGCGGTCAATGCTCTAGGCGAGCTCAGTCCAGGTGGCTCTCTCATGCGTGGCTTTCAGGAGCAGTCAGCGGGGCGTAAGTACACTTTATTATTAAGAATCATTTTTACTTACATAAAATCCCTTTTGATTAACCCGCAGAGCTGGTACCACGCGACTTTCAACGCGACTTGCGGCACTTGTATCTGTCGCTCTTGGAGCTGCTGAAACATTTTTGGAACTGCTTTCCACCCACCACGGAGGAGCTGGAAACAAAGCTACAGCGTATGCACGAGACACTGCAGCGTTTCAAAATGGCCAAGCTAGTGCCTTTCGAGGTGAGTAAATGCTTAAATATGCTGAATTCATAAGGGTTAATAACTCTTTCACACTCTCCATAGAATCGTGCAATGCATGAGCTCTCGCCGCTGCGATCATCACTCACGCAACATATGAACATGCTGCTGCGCACCGCCAACTCCAAGTATGCCACATGGAAGGAGCGCAAGCTGCGCAACAATAGATAACAAATGCAGCATCAGCAGCACCAGCAACAGCAACAGCAACAGCAGCCGCAGCAGCCAACCATCCTAAACAACATTATTATCGACTAGCAGTACTCAACGCATTGAAATAAAAATATGAATTACGTATATAATTAAGATATAACCACTGTTTGTATGTGTCTATGATGTGGTGCTTATAAATTTATACAACATCACAACGGATTGTTTCTGTGACTGTTCATCAGGATATTGTGCATCATCGGTTTTATGATAGCTTATTGTAGCCGCGCCCCTTGACGCCGAATCAACATGTTTCGCACGTAGAGTTCAAACTGAATTTAACCAATTCCCCATGACCCACATAGAATGTTACGCACAACAATCAAAAAAAAAATTCGTTTCATTTGTTTTAATTAACAAGTTCTTGATTGTTTTGAACGACAAGTTTCTTGCTTGACAGTACGCACAATGGGCGTCAGTTCAACACGAGTCGCGCTCTCAAGAACAATCAAAAACTGGACGTAGTTCCAGAAAGTTGCCTTGGCTATAAAGTGTATTTTATATTTCCATTATCTCTAATCGCTATGCAGGCAATCTTTGAGTTAAGCCTAGTGCTGTGCCTGATTGCCAGCTGCTGCATTTCATCCGGCCACGCAGCTCTGCTTTATCCCACAAATTCGGAATATGGTGTAACTTGTCAGCTTTAAGCACGCCTCGCATTTTGTTGCTAACAATAATTTATTGCAGCTCTTTGTGGCCATATCCGTGCCAATAAGTCTGCCGCATCGCAATGTGTTTTTGTCCTACAATTACGAGTTTAATTACTATCATCCGGAGCATGTCTACAAATTTCCACCTATTTTGGTAAATTAATTGAAGTTTGTGTCCTAAGTCTTTTGATTTAGCGTTCACATTTTTCAACAGATGGGTCAAGATTTCGCAGATGGCTATCTTACGTATCCCACCCATGATGCAGCGCAAAGCAGACAGTGTCACAATTGCACCGTCGGCACTAATACTACCAAGGCAGAAATCCCGGATCCGCAAAAGACGAGGGACACAAGTACGGCGCCGGTTCGTGAAAAACGCGAGTTGTCGCTGATGACACGCAAGACCTTCTACACTATACTGCGCGATAAACTAGACAGGTGTGAGCCGCAGTTTGAAATGTGTTCAGTAACCAATTTAACAGTTAATCCTCGCCAGATCTGGCTATCCCGCTGAGGCCTGTTTGCTGCGCATGATCTGCGAGACGAACGCCTCAACGCTGGGCGAGATAAATGGATTCTTGGGCAGCATTGTGCACGTTATTTTCACGTAAGCCAGGAATCAATTCCATCAGTAAGCACAACTACATCTACATTTGCAGTCCCAGCAGTTCCAGAGATGAGCAGCTGCCTCATGTTTACTATCAGGCCGAGGCGGATGGACTGCAGCAGCAATGCGCGCTCTACGAAAGCGACTGCCCCTACAATGTTATGGATCTGATTTCAACGCCCGTGGAGCGAATACTCCAAGACATCGTGCAAAGAAGAAGAAGAAAATAAACTGGAGTACATGATATAGAGTACTCGAAACATTGCATCTCACTCACTCGCTCTCTGACTTGGGTTGCCTCTTGGTTCTGTTCTCTAGCTGTGTTTGCCCTGCCCATTAACAGTTGTGTCTTTAATGTAAACGCACTTTCGGTGCTTGCTGCGGCTGGAGCAGCAGCTCAGTTCTTGGCTGAAGCTCTGCCTGATCAATTGAATGTGTGTGTGCATACGAAATGGGCTCAGATCAAACTGTATCCCACCTTCTGCTGGCCATGAGCGCGCTGTGCTTGCGTTCGGCCGACGCCTACCTGGCCTTCGTGCCCTCGAGCACGCATGGCGTGAGTTGGCTTTTAGCCTGGTGTTTTGGTCGGTGGTTGGTTGAATGTGCTTTTCTCGCAGGTGTTTGCCGCATTGGCTGTGCCGCTGGAGCTGCCGCATCGCAACGTTTTTGTTTCTTACAACTTTGAGGCAAATTACAACTCGCCATATAACTGGAGTAAGCCGACCTTATTTGTAAGTCTAGCTCATGCTGATCTGACGTCTATAAAATGCCGCATTCACTGGCAATTAGCACAGCATTTAAAAGGCCAATTAGCAGCTATGCGCCTGATATTCTTTCCATAGACATATCGATTCTCCAGAAATAACATTAAATTTCACATTTGAAATGTCTGCAGCAAAACGGTCCCATCGAGTCCGAGGAGGTGGAGCTATCACGCAAGACTAGCCATGCAACAGACGAGAGCAGGAGAGAGCCGGAGGAGGAGCTGGACATAGAGGGCAGTGCAGATCAGGAGCAGGAGCAGTCAACTTCCATGCCCACCTCTGAACCCAAGCGCGAGAGACGTGCGCTGCTCACCCGTAGCAATATTTATCACATACTAATGGATAAATTTCAGAGGTGCTTATGACTCGAAGATTGGGGGAATAGTTTATATATAAAATCGTTTACTTTCCAGGAGTGGCTTCTCGGGCGAATCCTGTTTGCTGCGCCTGATTTGCGAGACCAGCGCCGCCGAGCTGGGCGAGGTCAACGGTGTGCTGGGCAGTCTAATACACGTGCTCTTCAGGTGAGTTGCTCAGAACCCTATGCGAGTAAATTTCTATTAAATGAGTTAACATGACAGTCCCAGCACCTCCGAGCCGGAGCAGCTACCGCTGCGCTTCTATCAGGCGGAGCACGATGGCTGGAACGATCATTGCAGCTTTTATGAGCAAAACTGTGGCGAGAGTTTGTTGGAATTGATATCGGAGCCGTTTGAGCAGATCCTTGAGCGCATAGAGCGCAATGAAATGTAACAAGAATCATACGTGTATTCGCAGAAATATAAATTTGTTTTGTTGTGTGCCCCAGTTTAAAGTGCGGCTGTCTTTTTAATTAGCAACTTTCACTGGCCAAGAACTTTTCTAGCTGCTCCTAATTGCCACATCAGTTCCGAGTCGGCCCCAGTTGTCGCTTGGCGTTTGCCGAAAAATTTTGATTTTCAGTTGTTCGAAAGAAGCGCTGGAGCTTGCAGCGCTGTGAGGCAATCATCAACATGTATGCGGGCCTGCTTGAGATCCTGCTAACAATCTGTTTTGGGCGCACAGTACAGTCGGCGCTCGTATGGAACACAGGTGGAACAGCTGCGGTAAGTATTTTCCCATCTGTAAGTCTATTAACATTTACAATTTCTTCTTTTTTTTTTAGCTATTTACAGCTATTGCCATACCACTCGATCTGCCGTCAAGGCATGTGTTCATGTCATACTATTTTGAGGCCACGTATTCGCTGCCCAAAACTTGGCATGAAGAGCCACCAGTTTTTGTAAGTTTCTTGAAAATTTGATTCGATTCACATCACATTTTTGCCACTGTTTACAGCGACGTGGTAATGATACGAACTCGGATCCAAGTGGTGATCCAGTGGCTGATTTTGGGGACTACTATGACGACTATGAGGACCACAAACCATCCAAGTTGAAGCCGCCCAAGCGTAAACACAAAACCAAAAAAAAAACGAAGACCACTCCGAAGCCGTCGTCTGATGACTACAAGGACTTCTTCGAGGGCTATCCGCGGCAGGAGCGGAATGAGGCTGTGGCCAGACATCGCCAGGAGCATCAGCTGCTCTCACGCACCAAGTTCTATAAGATACTTGGCCAGAGATTCGAAGAGTTCGTATAGCTTCAAAGCTGCTTTAGTCATCTATTGACCTGTTACCTCTTGCTCCCAACAGACATGGCCTGGGCAGCGGCGACGGCTGCCTGCTGCGGCTCATCTGCGAGGCGAACAGTGCACAGCTGGGCGAGCTCAATGGCGTACTGGGCAGCCTGATGCATGTGATGTTCAGTCCCAGCAGCTCCCAGTACGAAGCGCTGCCCCAGCGCTACTACAATGCGGAGCGCAATGGACTGCGGGACAATTGTCGAGGGTATTCCGCCAAATGTGGACGCAGCGTGCTGGACTTGATAACCCGACCACTGATCGACTATATAGTAGGCAATAAATCCATCTCGCTATAGTTCTTTATTTCATGTACTTTTCATGAACATCTTGAGCGCTGGCCAGGCACAGCTCTTGATATACGCGCTCGCCTCCTGGCAGTGCTTGTTGGCGCGCTGCCAGGCGCTGGCCGGACAGCGTCGCATTAGCCGCGAGTAGGCGCAGAGGCTGTAGAAGAGCGCATGGCGATCGCAGGCAGCGCTCTGGCGGCTAATCTCGGCCAGCTCCGTGTACTTGCTGGGCACCAGCGACGCGCAAGTTGCGAAATTGCTGGCATAGGCATCGATTATGTCCGGATTGGTAAAGGCACGCTCCAGCATGGTACGCACCTGGGCTAGATTCAGCTGGCGGCCCTGCAGCGCCATCGTGGCATTGAATATGCAGGCCAGCCGGCACTGGGTACAGTCGATGAACTCGAAGATAGTCAGTTGATATAGTCTGGGTTAATATAAGCTAAACACTTACGCTAGGCTGCGCGCCCGACTTGCCACACTCGCTGTTGTAGGCGCCCCAATTGGGCAAGGGCAAAGGACAACACATTTGAACGTTCTGTAGAGCCAGATTCGATTAGTCGGTGATTTTTTTTTAAGCTTGCCTCCTCTACCTGCAGGGATTTGGGTGCTGCTCTGCACTTGGCAGCGCTCAGCAAAGCGGGAAGTTCGGCGATTAGGAAAAACAGCCAACTCAGCCGCATGCTAGAAAGTCTCTCAATCAACTGCATAAAAAATACCCCGATCTGCCTGTGGCTAACAATATATATTGCAATTGCGTGCTGCAGCTGCATGTGCAGCCCGATAAGCTGGCGACAAGCGTGGCGGCTTGTTCTGGTCAAAGATACAAAGATACATAACGATTGGTATTTTAGAGCCATAAAAGTGTCTACAGCTATTAATAATAGTATTACCTTTATTATGACTTTCAATTAAACAAGCGTTTGCCTAATTACTTAATACCAGCTTATTGTACAACCATGACAAAGCGATTTGTGAGAAAAATTATGTTTTCTATTAGTCAACCGCACTATGTAACTAACTTTGGTTCGCCACTTTAGTTGAGATACCTGCTTTTAAATAGGGTTTTCTTACTTATCTTTATCTAACAATATATACATACATATGTAATATAACAAAGACAGCAGCTTCTCATTGTAAATACCTGAAAAGTAGAAAAAGTGCAGAGTTGAGAAAAATCATCAAGAATTTTACTCTGATTTTATTTATTTATTTCTTTTTTATCTGTCAATTTAACAAGATGAGTATTTGGCATTGTACGTTTTAACATTTCAAGTTACAGCTTGCTTAACATCATGTTAAAGCGATTTTAAAATTTACAATGAAGATTAGAAATCTAGAATCTCTAGTTCAACTCCTTTCTAATGTTTTCAAAGTGCCAGTAGCGCCTTGCTAGTTAAAGTAAGTTCATTTAAGTTTAACAACATGTTAAAGCGCGTGTTAACCTAACAATGGAATGTGAGACAACGTGCCAAATAGACCTCAAGAAGTGGTATCTGTCGCAAGTCCTGACTGAGAAGTCGCATAGACTCGAAAAGTAAGCATATGCGGAATTATGTAGGCATATTTGGGCGAACTTTTAATTATACAATTTATTTGCCAATTAGGTGCATAATTTGTGTGCGCTTCATTAATTTGTAGACTGTCTGAACAGTCGTATATATATAGCATCAGATTCGGAAAGTCATGGCTCAAAACGACAACAATGCTGACAAAGTGTGCGAGTGTAATAATTTGGCTGTTGGCCAACATATTGTCCGGCAGTGCTGACATCGACTGCAGTCAGCGTTTGCAGCATAATGTGAGTAAAGCGAAAAAGGATATTGAATCCTTAACGAGCACTTACAATCGAATTTCCCAAACAGACGATTAGCAACTGCTGCGCCAAGCCCAGCTTGAACTTTGAGGCATTCCGGCAGAGTTGTGGCCGGTTTATGGCCGATAACCGCAAAAGCATGTCGCCAGTAAGTAGCAGAGCATGTCTCATGTCTACTTAATACAACTAACTAACACATTTTCATATGAAAGTGCCTCTACGACTGCATCTTCAATGTCAGCCAGACGCTGACCGGCATGCAACTGAATGTGGAGAATGCACACAGGCTGACCGAACGGCTACTGGGCACCAACAAGGAGTTTGTGGACATATATGCGACAGCTCTGGAGAATTGTGCTGCCAACGAAAGTGCAATGCTCAAGTATAAGAAACGGCGATTTTATGGCACCGAAAACTGTACCCTGCTGCCCCTGTATCTGGGCATTTGCGCTGCGGAATACGTATTTGTCCACTGCCCCTCGGCCAGCTGGACACGCAGCCGGATATGCGAGGAGGCGCTGGAATATAAAAATACCTGCCAGTGTGATATTAGTGGAAGATTTTGCAGTGCCAAATCCAATTAGTTTTACCATTACAGGAAAATAAATGAATGACCTTTAGATAATCAAACTTTCTGCGGATCTTAAAATCCTTGCCCCAGCATATGCTCTTCTAATAGCTAGAGTAATAAAACCCAGACATGCTTGGCATATGTTTCTATTTATGATCTTCAGATGACAGCAATTTATATTGGTTTAGTTGAAGAACACATCATACCAGCTGGGCTGATCGCGATAGCTAAGCGACTCCGCTGCACTGCAACCAGCATCGGAGTCCAATACATCCTCCTCCCCAATTGCCTGCATTTGAGCTGCTTGCGATTATCAATCAATTAGAAAAGTTAGACCAGTTTAATTATGTACCTACCCAATTGCTCCAGATTCATGCCCAGACGTTGGGCATGTTGCATGAGCGCTGCGAGCAGCAGCTGTGTGTCGACAATGCCATCTTGTTCCACATCATGGAATGAGATCAGGGGCTGTTCCTCTTCTGCTGGACAGCCCAGAGCTATGTCGTTATTGGGCTCCAACTGTAACTGCTGGAATAGGCATTAATGAGACAGGAAGATGAATGGATTATGCCCACCTGCTCTGCCTCTGACTCAACGACAAAGTCCCTAAAAGCAGCCCAGGCGTTGCTGCCGAGCAGCAGGCAGCTGATTAGAAACACAGTCGAATGATTCATAATGCAAATCCAAGATCGAAGATCGTTTTTCAACTAAGCTGTTTGACAACTGAACCTTGAATGGGCCAGGGTGAAAAAGATTTGCCAAACTCGGCAGCCAGACACATGTCACGGCTCATTTAATGGGAACTGAGTCAGACTAATCAGCGTAATTATGAAATGATTTTAGATTTCTTTTTTTTTTTTTTCAGTTATATTTTGAACACTCGAACACAAAACATAAAGCTAAAAATGTTTATGAATAGACTTATCGAGATCAGCTCATGGGCAGCGGCACGTGCGGCAGAGGATTGCATTGCTCGGCAAACTGTTTGGCCACGAGGCAGTGCTCGTCCGACTTCCACATCTTGGCCGGACAGTTGATAAAGGTCTCCGCATTGACGCAACTGTAGAGCATGGCGGCATAGGGCGAACAGCCCTGGGGTAGCACCTTATACGACTCGAGCTTTGCGGCCTTCATGTGGCCATGAACTGCGGAAACAGTAGAATGCAAGTCAGTTAATCTTTGATGCAAAATTTATATATATTACGCATACGCACTGTTTTTCCGACAGGTCTCAAAGGAGCGCACAATATGTGGCACCACCTCGCGATCGCGTCGATGCACATGCTCCTGCAGATACTGTCGCACCTTGTCCATATGCAGTCTGCCATTGACCAGGGCGCCCGTCTCTTTGTATATGCACTCCGGATAGCACTGGCAAGTGTCCGGATGTTTAAAATATACTTTAAATGACATTCGCTTGGTAGTATTGGTATTTGCTTACCAGATGCGCAAAGGCCGGATACTTCTGATTGGCGGACTTAAGTTGATTTACGTGCTGCTGGCATTTTTGTGGCACGTTGCCTAGATTGATTTCCGGCGTGCGGCAGCACGAGTTCACGTCCTGCCAAAATATTTCATTCAATATTCATTTATAATTTATAACGCTCGATTGAATTTACTTACGAAATTGTTAAAATTCGGCGGCGATGAACAATTGTAGGCGGCATGGGCGTGGCACAGCAACAGCGACAGCTGCACATAAATATATAATTAAAGAGTCCGCGCATAAAAGGCCATTTACTCACCATTGCCAATGCAGCGCACTGGAAAATTGTTGGTCGCATTTTTCGGAACTTTGTTTAATTGAAGTGCGGCAAATGAATAAAATTTGTGCGCCAGCGAATCGCTGCTTTATATAGTCAACCGGAAAACATACTCTAATGAGCTAATGTTATCGTCATTCTAATGAAAACAAAACGCTGCCTTTGGTCCAATGCGTCAATTGAAGGTGACACATCCGAAACACTAAAACAAAAAAAAAAAAAACAAAAAATCATTTTGGCCAACTGATGGGCAGAGTGCGTCGACTGATACGTGATTACTTTCACCAGGCAACTGACAGTGCGTGACCAGGGTAAACAGTCATTTTTTTTGTTGGGGGGAAATACCAGCAGCTAAATGGGTTTTAATATCCACTAAATACCCTGATTCTGATTCTGAACACGATAAAAGTCTTTAGTCTATTGTTTACAGTTTATAAGAAGTAACATAGTGTTTCGTTCGCCTATCCTCCACTTATTATAGCTATTTTATAGGACTTCTCAGTAAATGGACTAACTAAGTAATATATCTGAACAACGAGTACAACGAACGGGCTTGAGTCACAGTTTTGTGTTTCGATATAGTAAAGTATTGTCTGATTGGTATTTAAAGACATATAGGTTGATAGTTTGAATGGAGGATTTTGATTTTTTTGCATGCCAATCCAAAGTCCTGTTTTGTACGTATGCATCATTCATGCATCTGACCACATTGTGCCGACAGCTGCATATTAATTATAATATTTCTAAAGAACCTTCATCTAATCTCACGCATCTGAAGTCCAATCTAATATGACAAATAAATATAAGCATGTGTCAAAACAATGTCAATGCAACTAATTAATAATGCATATAACTCATAAGGGCTC